CCTTTCGTCTCACTGCAACTGTTTCCACAGTCTTTGCATGATTGTTTTATACTGGATTGCGATGGGTGACAGCCATCCAAGTGGATCGAAAGTCTTAGCAATTGTAGAAAGTAATGTTCTTTTGGTTAAGGGGCCTTCAAAAGATAAAGGAGTGATTTTGAAGTAAAATACATCTGAAGCTGGATGCCACAGGATACCTAATGTTTTTACTGTATCATCATTGTCTATATTCAAAGAAGCATTAGATAAACGCATATCTGAATCGATTGAATTTAAGAGTTCGTTGCAATTAGAAGCCCATTTTCTCAACACGTCCGGCACTGGACAACATTTGAGTCAATTGGTTTTGTAGTTCCAAGGCTTCAGAGAGTGAATTGGCTCCGGACATCAAATCATCAACGTAGAAGTCATTGAGAGCTGCTTTAGAAGCAAGAGGAAAATTATTTGCTTCGTTTAATGCAAACTGCTGTAAGCACTTTATTGCAAGGTACGGCGCTGATGCAGTTCCTTAAGCTATTCTTGTCAACCTAAAGTCTTGAATTGGCTCAAAAGGTGAATTACGCCAAACGATTCTCTGAAAATCCGAATCTCGTTGTGTTATTTGCTTATACATTTTTTCTATGTCTGCTGTAATGGCTATTTTGTGCGTCCTAAAGCGAAAGAGTAATGCTGTTAAGTCAGCCTGTAGCTGTGGACCAACCCTTAATTTATCGTTGAGAGAAATCCCACTTGAGGACTTTGCAGATCCGTCAAACACCACGCAAAATTTATCTCCATTTTTATTGGGTATTGGGGGATGCGGGAGATAAAAACTGGAACTAGCTGGAACGTCAATCTCGTTTTCAGGGATTAACTCCATGTGACTAAGTTTCAAATAGTCGTTCATAAATTTGTGATATTGATCGGAAAGTGATTTGTTTTTACTAAATCGACGTTCAATTTGCTGTAGACGATGCACGGCAGTGTATCTAGATGAACCAAGTTCATCACTAGAGTCTCGGAATGGAAAATTGACTACGAACCTGCCTGTTAAGTCACGAGTATGAGTTCTTTTGAAATGATTCTCGCAAGCAATTTCTTCATTCGTGAAATGTTTTGTTTCACCGAGTTCCTCTAATTGCCAGAATTTATCGACCTGAAACTCTACTGCATTGTAACTTGCATGATTTGAAATAATTCTTTGGCAAGAAATTTTTGTTTTTCCAAGAACAACCCAACCGAAAATTGATTCCATTGCAGTTAAAGATTGTCCCTGAACATTTAAATGTCTATTGAGCATGATTTCTCCAAATACATCAGCACCTAACAAAATGTCTATTGGGCCTGGCTGGAGACAGTTGACATCCGCTAATTTTAAATGCTTAAATGTATTCAAAGCAGACGCATCGACTTAAAATTGAGGAAGGTCACAGTTAATTTTGGGTAAAATTAATGCCATCTACAGTAATACTTGTGTTTTTGTAAAAAAAGTGATGTTATTTCTAACTGAACTAAGCCTGCTACCGTTCCCACCTTTTGCGAACTTAAGCCGTCTACATTTATGTTTACGCTAGCACGTTTAAGTTGTAATAAATTTACACAATTCTCTCAAACAAATGAGTCGGTTGAATCCTAGGAGGACCCACTTTTGGTCGCCAAATTTTTTGTCGCCAAACTTTGAGCGATAAAGGTTACAATATGGTAACCCTTCCATTTCATCCAAAAAATTTGGATTTTCAAATCACCGAAAAAAATGGCAACCCTAAAAAAAGTACAACGTTTTCGCCTTTTCCGAAAAAACGTCATTTTGACATTTGACTTCGTTTGAGAAGGTTTGCTCTCCACCGGTTGTTGCTAAGAATGGCGTGTGAAAGGAAATTAATTGAAAGTGAGGCTACGACAGGTTTCTTTGCGCTCCTGGGCACAAAGGGGAAGAAAGAGACGTTAGAATGGTGTATGAAAGCTAATTTAATTGCTTCTCGTTATGAATGTCCGAGGTGTAAAAAAAATATGCATTTGCAAGAACGAAAGGGAACGGTTGACGGCTACGAATGGCGTTACCGCAACCAGTCGAAAGATAATCGCCACGACGTTGTTCGGAGTGTGAGAAAGGGCACTTGGTTTAGCGAAAGCAAACTTGCTATAACTATTATCTTGCGTTTGACGAGATATTGGTTTGGAAAGAGCATGAATGCGTTCGTGGTGAATGACTTGAAAGTTAATAAGAATAGGTCACAAGTTGGTAGATGACAATTTTCATGAATTCCTTGCATCCATCGCAAGGGTGTATCCACCAACGGAACATGACGTAATGCAAGCGTAAGGTAAGTGACTTTTAAATTTTTTCAAAATGATTGATTTCATGTATTTCTTCGATTTTATCTTTGCGAAACGCCCCTTTCGTCCTTTTTTAAAAATGTAAATCATGCTGTACACACTGGTTTTAGAATGCTTTTTTAAAATGAATTTCATTGCTTTCTCCGTTTTTTTCTTTATATGATAATTTAATGTATTTATTCGATTTCATCTTTGCGAAACGCCCATTTCATCCCCTTCTTCCCCCCGCTGACGCATGCGCTTCCCAAGAGTTTTTCGTCATTGACGCCTTTTTGAAAACCTTCAATTTGGCGCTTTTTGGCGAAAAATATTTGGCGCCATAAACAGCAGAGGGTTCTCCTAGGATTTTACCACAATTGCAGTAGGCAATGAAACAGCCTGAGAGGCAGGTACTGTTACGTTGTTGCTACTAATCGTGGAATCCTCCGTGTGTATATCGGATACCGTGTTGTGAATTAAATTTTTGTTGTTATTTGAAATTTTGCTATTATTTGAACATAATAAAGGATTATGTGATTTGGAACAGAATTTGCAAACACCTGCGCGACATTTGGAAATGTGATGCGTTTTATTTCCCCTAAGACTATTAAAGCACAATTTGTGTTTTTTAACAACATCCCATTTTTCTTTAATCGGAAGTTCTAAAAAACTATCCCACATGAATAATCCAAAATGTGCATCGCTATTGCAATGTATGTAAACATTCGACACTATTTGTGAAGAGTAAGAAATTTTTTTATTTGTGTGAGTCATTTTACTTCCGCCCGCTTCGAAGAGAACAGATGTTTTTTCTTTCTGGCACTTGGCTAAAGACGCAATAGCGGTCGCTCTGCTTAAAACAAACGATTTAAATTCGGAGAAAGAGGGCTTTTTTTTGGTTGTTTGTTCGAGAGTCCAAACGCGTAATGTTTCGGAGTCAAGTTTCCCCTTAGCAAGAAAATTATGAGGGTGTCCCAATATTCCACGGGCTGCCTCAATGTTTGCAGGTTGTCAATGCACTGTTGGGTAGTGTCAATTAGCTTTCGCAATCCTGAAGCTGATTCTTGTTTTAAAATAGGCTGCGAAATTAATTTATTTAATGCCGCATTTATAATTTCTGTTTCATTCTCATAGCGCTCAGTTAATGCATTCCACGCCTTTTTATAACTATCGTTTGTGATTTGAATGGATTGTAATAAAGTGGCTGCTTCGCCCTTTACAGAGAGTTTAAGATATGCAGTTTTTGACTATCACTTAAAGTACTATTATTCCCTACACTAACTAGAAATAAATCGCGAAAAGAGATCCAGTCTATATAATTTGAAGTGAATACTGGCATTTCTATAGGAGGAAGTTTAATATTGCTTACATTAGTGTTAACAATATTTTGCCATGCATTAGTATTATGATTATCAAGTTTTTTCATTTCCTCTTTTAAAATAATTTTTAGTGTATCTAATTTCGAAAATAAATCATGCATTTCCATTTCATAAACGTTAAAATCTTCATCTGCACAAGTGCTTAAAATACTATCGTTTAAATTATTTATTTCAATATCTATTGCACTAACATCTATTTCATAAACTTCAATAATGGATACAGAAGTTTCTTGATTTTGTAAATCATCTACTTTTGAAACTAAACGAGTTAGTTTACCTTTTAAGATTTTCTTTTGTTTAAGAATGGCGTCCATGTTGGATTGTTTGTGACCTTCCCAAACTCCAAGTTCAATGCTTCCAAAGATTATTTAGTAAAGTCTGTTTTTGTGCATGATTACTTCGGCAAATGTCGTAGACCGCTTTTCACTTCATCAATTAAATGTTTTCAATTGAATGCTCTGGTAGCTCGACGGACCAAAATGAATGCGATGGAAGGAAATCGGTCAGGTCCGTTTGAAGATTTTTTTTCTCGTGTTTTTACTCAGTTTCAAAAAATACATCCGGTGGCTCTCGCGCGCCCTCTTACGGTGAAAAAGAAGAAGGCGTTACAACAGGCAATAAGACCTTTTTTTGTAGATTTCTTAATCCTGTTTTATAATTAAAGTAAAATATATATATATATATTCATACTTTTAAAACTATATAACGTTTTTTGAAATTAAGGCAACATTCTATGCAAAGCAAACCTTACGCGAGTTATTAAAACAATCTAAACTTAGGCAATTCGCAGCTGGTAGAGTTCGAACCTACGCGGGGAGAACCCAATGGTTTGCAAGCCCATCACCTTAACCACTCGGCCACAGCTGCACCGATTCAGAAGCATTTTTTTTGTAGATTTTCTAAATCTAATCCATATAATTTAAGTATAATATATTTGTTCTAATACAACTGAAAAACAGCTTATGAAATTCAGGGAACCTCCTCTGAAAAAAAATCTTACACGAGTTCTTAAAACAATCTACATTTAAACAATTCTCAAATGGTAGGATTCAAACCTACGTGGTTGGGGCCGCAATGGATTTCAAGTCGATCGCCTTAACCACTCGGCCACAACTGCTTCGTGCGATAAGAACTTTTTTTGTAGATTTCTAAATATTGATTTATAATTAAAAAGTAAAATATATTCTTACTTTTAAAACTGAATAATGGTTTTTAAAATGAAGGGAACATTCAACGCCAAACAAACCTTACTCGATTTCTTAATTCAATATAAATTTAGACAATTCGCAGCCGTCAGGATTCGCACCTACATCGGGAGACCCTAATCGATTTCAAGTCCATCTCCTTAACCACTTGTCCACATTTTCTGCGATTAGAAGGAAATACTTTTTGTAGAATTTCTAACTCCAATTTTCAATTAAAGTATAATATATTCGTATTTTAAAACTGAACAGCACATTTTTTAAATTCAGGGAACCTTCTATGCAAAACAAACTTGCGAGAGTTTTTAAAACAATCTAATTTTAGATATTTGCAATTGGGAGGATTCGAAACTATTCTGAGAGACCCCAATGGATTTCAAGTCCATCACCTTAACCACTCATCCACAGCTGCTTCGAATAAAGGAAATGTTTTTAAATGTTTTTTTAACTCCTGTTTGTATAAATACAGTAGAATATCTTCGTATTTTTAACGCTGAATTTAGACAATTTGCAGCCGTTAGGATACGAACCTGCTCGAGGAGACCCCAATGGATTTAGAGTTCATTGCTTTTACCACTGGGCCACAGCTGCTCCGATTGAAAGGTAATTTTTTTTTTGTAGATTTTCTAAATCCGATGTATATAACCTTGCTCAGTTGGGCTCGGGGCAGGACTCTTGTCGCAAAACGACATTCGGGCTTTCACAGTTATGTGAAGCCTTCTGATCGCTGAAAAATTCTTGCAGAGTGTGGTAGTGGCTTTTGTGGGGTTGGACAGTAAGTTTCCATTTCCTGTTATAAGTTCCAAGTGCAGAAAATACTTTTCGTTCCAAGGCGAGATACGAACCGGTGAGCCTTAGGGCCTTATTTTTGAAATATGGGTTAACAAAAAGTGATGTATATGTGGCTCTCTTGAAGATCATAATAGCACGTTTCAGTTTAGCTTGGGATTTTCGAAGAAATATGCAAATGAATTTAGAAGTATAAAAAGAAATGTTAATATTTTTTACATAAGTAAAGTGACAGAATTCCAGAAAGTGTCAAATACCATTACATGAGTATCAGTACGTTTAAGCGGCAGCTGTGGCCAAGAGGTTAAGACAATGGATTCGTTACTCATTGAGGTCTCCTCGATTAGGTTCGAATCCTACCGGCTGCGAATTGTTTACATTGTGATTGTTTTAAACACACGCGTAAGGTTTATTTTGCATACGATGATTCCCGAAATACAAAATCCCCCTTTTCGAGTTTTAAAATTTTAAAAATATTTAATTATAATTATAAAATGATGTTAAAAAATTATGCACAAAAAATTTCTTTTCGTTCGAAGTAGCTGTGGCCGAGTGGTTATGGCGATGGATTTGAAATCCCCCCGCGTATGTTCGAACTCTACCGGAAACGGAGGTTTTCTTTAGCGATTATAAATTTTAGACCTGATTAACGTTTTTAAAACGAAGATAATTCCACCTTTGTAAATTAACACAGCTATTTTATAAAAATATTAATTATTAGAGCTGCTAAATTTAAATTAAGTATCAGGAAAAGTACACAGCACATAGACTAAAAATACTTTGGGCACTACCTGCGTAGGTTCAAATCTTATCAACACATTGTAAGTTTCTATTCTAGAGTAAGTTTATTTAAGACATTTGTAAAATTTTTAAAAAGATTGCTTTTCTAACTGCAAAAATAATAGTATGATTAAAATCGTAAAATATATACATTGAAAACAATCTGAATATATAAATATCATAAATTAATTCCCAGGAATTTTTCGCAGAATCTATTACTGAGTGGTTACAGTGATTGTACTATGTAAAACATAGTTTGAGCTAAAAATTTCCTAAAACGTTAGCTGTTTCATTTTTTAAGAAAAACACTTTAAATTTGTGAAGTTATTTCAAAATGCTATTGCTCCTATAAAAACTTACGTACACGCATGAATATTGATTTACCAGTACGTCCAAGTATGTATAACAAAATCTAGTATGGATTTTGCGATAACACGAATGGTATTTGTACAGTACTTCTTATGAATCCTTAATCAAAGTTCCTTAAAAAGTTGCAAATTCTAACTTCAAATATTTTAAAAGAATAAGTATTGCTCTGATTCAAAAATGCATACCAACTTTTGTTGCCTGTACTATTAACAATAGGTAAAAAATATAAAAGCATTAGGCACAATAGAAAAAAAAAACGCCTTAGCATTTTAAATGAAGACAGACTAGTTTCTATACCTTTCTGAGATAAGTAAGTTTAAAATTTTGATTTGCCTTAAGAATGTGAATAAAAATGAATGTAAAAGCTATCATAATTCTGTGTTTATAAAGTTTAGAGTTTTCAAATTTTGTGAGGTTATACAAAAGTTTTTTTTTTTTTTTAATTTCTTGACCTAATAATTTAGACAAGAAAAATTACTTTTCATTTTTTGTCAATTGAATCACGCGCGCGCTCACTGTGTCCCCTTAAAACTCCAAGAAAATTCTTTTTAAATCAGTCAGCGTGTATACATAAAACATGTTCCTTTTTTAAACGACGAAAATCGTAGCCGGTATGATTCAAACCTACGCGGAGAGACACCAATGGAATTTAAGTCCATCGCCTTATCCACTCAGCCACAGCTGGCATAAAACTTTGTGATACTCATGTATTGATATATGAAAATTTAACGGATTACGTCACTTTATTTAATGAAAAAATTTTAATATTTTAATTTAAAATGCGAAGGGCATTCTGTTTAGAACACTTACCGTGTATCTATAAAATAAGTTCTATTTTCAAACGATGAAAACCGCAGTCGTCAGGATTTGAACCTACGCGGGGATACCCCAATGAAGTTCTAGTCAATTGCCTTAAATAAACATTTACACATGCTGTGTACTTTTCCTGATATGTAATTTAAATTCAGCAATTGTAATAATGGACATTTTTAACGTATCTGTGTTGTTTTTTTACAGGTGTAAATACTTTTTTCAAACCGTTACCCAAGAAAAAAATTATATAATCATTAAAAAAATTTCTACAGCTGGTAGGATTTGAAGTTTAACGGGTAGACCCCCCAATGAATTTCTTGTCCATCGCCTTAACTTCTCGGCCACGGATGTCGCGAAACATTCCAATACTCATGTAATGATATAATAAATTTTAGTTTTTTTTTCTGCCACTTTACTTAATAAAAAAAATTAAATATTTCAATTTAAAATTACAAGGTCGTTTTGTTTAAAGCACTTAGTGTGTATGTATAACATAAGTGTTTTTTCAAACGACGAAAATTGCAGCCTGTAGGATTCGAACCTACGTGGGGAGACTCCAACAGATTTTTAGTCCATCGCCTTAACCTAGTGCTTCTCAAACTTTCAATACTGGTGCCCACCTTTTCAATCATAATTTTTATCACGCCCCCCTTTTCTTACATTAATAGTGTACCGAATGCAATAATAATGCACATTTTTGACGCTAAAGCTACAATACGCGATCTTAATTATAAACCATACAAATAAATAACATTAATCAGTGCTTCTCAAACTTTCAATACTGGTGCCTCCCTTTTCAATCTCAATTTTTTCACGCCCCCTTTTCTTATACATTAATAATGTACCGAATGCAATAACAATGCACTTTTTTGACGCTGAAGCTACAATACGCGATCTTAATTATAAACTATACAAATAAAAAACATTAATCAGTGCTTCTCAAGCTTTCAATACTGGTGCCCCCACTTTTCAATCACAATTTTTATCATGCCCCTTTTCTTATACATTAATAATGTACCGAATGCAATAACAATGCACTTTTTGACGCTGAAGCTACAATACGCGATCTTAATTATAAACTATACAAATAAAAAACATTAATCAGTGCTTCTCAAACTTTCAATACTGGTGCCTCCTTTTCAATCTCAATTTTTATCACGCCCCGCTTTTCTTTATACATTAATAATGTACCGAATGCAATAACAATGCACTTTTTTGACGCTGAAGCTACAATACGCGATCTTAATTATAAACTATACAAATAAAAAACATTAATCAGTGCTTCTCAAGCTTTCAATACTGGTGCCCCCTTTTCAATCACAATTTTTATCATGCCCCCTTTTCTTATACATTAATAATGTACCGAATGCAATAACAATGCACTTTTTTGACGCTGAAGCTACAATACGCGATCTTAATTATAAACTATACAAATAAATAACATTAATCAGTGCTTCTCAAACTTTCAATACTGGTGCCTCCCTTTTCAATCTCAATTTTTATCACGCCCCCTTTTCTTATACATTAATAATGTACCGAATGCAATAACAATGCACTTTTTTGACGCTGAAGCTACAATACGCGATTTTAATTATAAACTATACAAATAAAAAACATTAATCAGTGCTTCTCAAGCTTTCAATACTGGTGCCCCCCTTTTCAATCACAATTTTTATCATGCCCCCTTTTCTTATACATTAATAATGTACCGAATGCAATAATAATGCACTTTTTTGACGCTAAAGCTACAATACGCGATCTTAGTTATAAACCATACAAATAAAAAAAACATTAATCAGTGCTTCTCAAACTTTCAATACTGGTGACCCAATTTTCAATCATAATTTTTATCGCCCCCTATATATAATAATAATATATTGACTCCGTTGTAGGAAGGAAGGGCATAATACCCGACAAACAACTGAAATGGACTTTAAAAATCTAAAAATTAAAATTGGGGGGGAGAAGAACTTTTACTTGTGAACGAGAAAAATCTATAATTTTTTTCCCTCCTGAACTTTTTAAATGTACCCCGATTCTCTCTCTCGGTGGGGGAGGGGAGCAGGTTCTCCAAAAGATGTCCCCTGCTTGCGCCACCTCCGAAGTAAACCTTTAAATACCGTTCCAAAATAAAACAGATTTATCTGAAAATATAATTTATAAACTGGATTTACACAATTACAGAAAATTACAATCAGTTGTAGAAATACACTCAATAAAACATTAGGGCAAATAAATAAACAAATAACCTTCATATCAAAATATTCACAAAACTAATAGTATAAAATACTAGAAAAATACAGACTTACCAAAATTCTTTTAAATTAAAAATAAAGACAAAATATATTATTGTTTTTTTATGTATGTATTATTTTATGTCCTTAACATATTTTTACTGTCTGTGTTAGTCAGGAAAACATTTCTCATGCAATCTTTTTCCAATTCGAGGCATTTTTGTTGTGTTTCTCGTACATACAGCACAATGTCCTTGTGTTGATGGAACAAGACAATGAGCATCTAACTGTCTCAAAGATTTCGAGCTATGAGCGCGAGGTCCTGGAACAGAGTGAATTTTCGGTTTCATGCGAAGCAAACTTAAAGTTATATTAATACGGAAATTTAGATGGGATTGTTCTGCTTTAGTACCTTTGTGCAAATGTATATGTAATATCCAGCCAGCCACAACAGCCATGTTTAGTGCATTGCTAAATAGATTCCAATGTCATTTTTTTGTTTCTAAACAGAGACCGATATGTTCTAAGAAGTCAGTCTAATATATATATATATAAATCAACAACTCCCATTCTCTCATTATACATTTTTATAAGATTTGGTTGACGTATATCAATTTTCTTTTTTTGTGCATGGCAAAATCTCTTGGTTTTAGTGACAAGCTCATGTGCTACATAATTGGATGCTATGGTAACTACAGCACTATCTTTCCAACGGCAAATGTACACTTGTCTGTCACTTCGGTAATCGAAATTACCTCTTTGACATTTTTTTGCTTTCTTTGGAGATTTCAAAGGGCAACTTCCTGTGCGATTATCTGGAATTTAGTCAGTTGTCTTTAAATTCTTTTCAGACAGTTATGTTAACAGTTTATGTGATGAAAAGAAATTTGTCAAAGAATATTTCACGCTTGTCGGGACTTTCAACACTGGATAAAAGTTGTCACACTCCTCTAGATCCAAGAGGAGTGTTTTCTATTTCCAGTTTTTTTTCACTATAAATTATCATAGAGTAAGGATTGCCACTGCTGAAACACAACATCCATATTTTATATCCAAACCTAATTGAAAACTCGTGGAGAAATGTTTAGTGACACCTCTGTTTCATATACTACTTCTTAAAAATGTACATAATGATTGATTTTTCATTTAAAATGGCATTCATCATACTTTTAAAAAACATGTGAAAACACTAAACGGTACCCCGCCAATGTTCCATTTTTGAAACATCCTAAAACTCTTGAAAAAAAATTTTTTTGAAACTTTTTTTCCCATATATCTTATGTTTCAATTTTAATTTGATTTTTAACAAAATTTAGTTCATGTTACCTTTGAATCATAGTGCGGCATTTAAGAGGTTAATTTAAATTCAGCAACTCGAACAATTAACGTTTCTACACACGTACACGCACGCTCGCACACGCATATATACATATATATATATATATATATATATATATATATATATATATATATATATATATATATACTGATGTTTGTAAAAAAATGCCACACCATGAAGGAATCAGCAGAATAAATGAACTTGCAAATATCAATTACAAGATGTTACGTAAAATATAAAAGTTTCAGAATCCCTGCGCATGCGTGACGTGCGCAGCGCTCTCTGAACTGATGCTGAAAGAGTATAAACAGAGGGCTGTAGTGGGACGTTTAAAATAGTTAGTGATTATTTGTTCGTGACGAACGTTCAGTGAAACCTTATTCCTCTACGATGAAATAAAGAGAACTTTCTACTACTTACGGAGTATGGACAAGGGAGGATTATCGGACTTCAAAAAGAAGGATTTTTCTATTGCGAAATAGCAGCTCATGTGTAGCGGAACAGTTCCAAAGTGATGGGAGCTTGGAAGCATTGGACCGACGAGCACCGATCAACTCGAAAAGATGGCAATGGACGACGGAAGGTGATGTCCTCGCTCGACGATCGACACATGTTCCGCATTGCTGTGAATGACCGTATAACTTCATCCAGGAAGTGGACAGCACGTTGGTCTACTGTTACATGTGTACTAATGTTGGCTTCGTCAGTTTGTCGACGTCTGCTGCACTGTGGATTGCGTGCAAGCGTGCCTTTATACAGCATCCCTCTCACGGCAGATAAGAGTGCACGCATAAAATTGTTTTCAGAGTATTATTATAATAAAAAATTATTTAAATGCAATATTGTGAGAACAAATGAACATACAATAACCTATTTTCAAAACACTCTCCTTTTATGAACAATGCTTCTATAATAAGAATACTTTGTCTATAAAAAGTTAAGATTTCTTCAAAGAGCCTAAACTAGGGATTTTGAAAGATTCTCATTATTTTCAGAGTTACAACCAATTGAAATAATAATAATGTATGCATGCATTTATATATATATTTTTTTGCAAAAATGTTTTGACTATGATGTACTAAAAAAGAGATAAGTTCACTTTTAAGTTAAACAGTTCAAAAATCCTAAATCCTAGAAAGAGTTTGCCTATATCCACTCATGAACAAAAAAATTAGCGCATCAAGAAATAGTTGCGTTATCGTAAGGAGACTTAAGCATGTAGGTACATGTTAGGACGATATGTAAACGATTAGAAATGCAGCGTGATTGTGAACTACGTATAGCCGGTAGAGGGCATTTC